ATTTGAAGAACTACTCTTTATGGGTCAATTTTATTTTAATACTGAAAATGGCGTTTCTTAGCTCGTTCCCGATTTAATTCCCTCGTTTTATACACTGAGAAAAAATTGTATGGTTCCCAAATAAAAAGAATAATTAAATATGGGACAGAAGCATTGTTTATTTATCCTAAATATATTTTTATTGCTGACACATGAAGTTTTACTAAAGTAAATTTATCGTTATTATTTCGATTATTTAGAGGTAACAAACAATATACCTATTCACTATTATTAAAAAGTATTAGCTACACAGTTTATTTGTCCCATTTTTTTCAGTGTAGCGACGTACTTGACGACCCCCATAACGTACTTAAAACCCTGCAATACAACATAATATATTGTTTTGCAGGGTTTATTATATAATATTTCGCAATATGGCCCAAAAGCACAGCTGTGCTAGCATTGTCCTCGCAATCCATCCGCAATCCATCCGTAAATTACAATCTGCATTAAAGTACGCATGCGCCACCAGTACCGCTACCGCTACTTTCTGAACTATAAATTGCAGAAAGTGATACCGCTACCGCTACCTTTACCTCTACCTTTACCGCTGCCTCTACCGTTACCTTTAAAACTATAAATCCAGCTTAACACTTTACGGAATATATGTCATTCCATAGATAAAAGTGATATTAGAAGGGTCAAATTTAGGCGTTAAAAATGTATAAATCTTTATAACATTACAATAACAATAGATGATTTAAGAATACTGTATTTAATGAAATTCCAAAGTGTATGGTGCCAAATAAGTAATACTTTTGTGCATTTGGTCCAAATATCTGTTTTCTCCATAAAAAAATTTTAACTAAACAGCATTTATTAAAAAAAATCTAGCTTCTCTATTATGGATTAAGAATATCTGTATTAAAGGTAGGTTAATATATTATAACAAAAATATCATCTAATTTTGTAATTTTAAGGTTAGAAAAATTTATTTTGACCAAAATAAATAAGTATTTTGGATTATTTAAAAGACTGTATAATATGGTATTTAAAAATGTGGTAGTTTTTCTTATCCAGCTTAAAGTGTACCTACCTACATTAAGTTTTGTCAATACAAATAGTTAAAAAGCTTTGACTGAATTTGATCTACATCGAAAAATCATTATAACTTTAAAAATTTTAATAAATTACATGTCATGGGAGTATTAAATATTTTTACATTGCAAGTTTCTCTAAAAATTGTTTGTTTTCTTATAATCTAACTTAAAGTAGGTATGCACAAGTTTTGTCGTTAGAAGTATAAAAGCTTCAATTTAATTTGAACCATATTCAACAATTACTTAGTATACCTATATTTATTTATGACCATATTAACACACTCCTCCAAATAATCCACTTATTTATTTTGGTCAAAATAGATTTTTCTAACCTTAAAATACAAAATTAGATGATATTTTTTGTTCTAATACATTAACCTACCTTTGATACAGATATTCTTATTTCATAATAGAGAAGTTGGATTTTTTTTAATAAATGCTGTTTAGTTATAACTATTTTATGGAGAAATGGAGACCCAATGCACAAAAATATCAATTAAATTGCACCTTACACTTTAGAATTTCATTAAATGCAGTATTTATATTCCTAAATTCTTAAACCAACCATTGTTATTGTGATACTATAAAGATTTATTAACTTTTAACGCTTAAACATAAGCGGTAACCCTATAAATATTAGTCGTTTTTTCGCGTAAATACCATATACCTATAACTAATAAGTTATAGGTATATGGTATATGGTATAACTAATAAGTTATAGGTATATGGTAAATACCATGAAATACTATGGTTATTAAACTTAACTTTGGTTAATAGTTAAGGCATTTTTGCGTTTAGAGTGCGTTCAAAAATCCTAACTATTACGTCACAAATACCAGACCATAAAACTATATCGCTGAGCTAGTTATTCAACGTGGTTAATAGTCTTTCTCTTTTTAATATATATTTTTCTCTGTTTCGATCTGTCAAAAAGTTGTTTACATTTGAAATTTAAATCGAACGCGCCACGGTACCGGGTTCGATTCCCGGTCACAGCCTTGGGTGTTGTGGTTGTTTTTAAGAACAAAAAAATTTATAATCATGAGCTGGCTAAATAATCGAAAAGATTAAAAGTCAATAAAACCAAAAAAAAAAAAAAAATTAAAATATTTTAAGTAGGTACAATTGCTCTTAAACCGAATTTAAACTTTGTATTAAAATGGTAAACGGGGTGTTGTCAGTGAAAATAAATGATAGGGTGCTCCATATTGTGGAATCTCTACAAGAAGTGGAGGAATTATATGCAGGTTTGTTTTATATTCTTCCTTATTTTGTATAAAAAACATTTAGGAGAATTGTATAACGTGTATTGAAAAAACTAGTATAGAAAAAGAATAGGTATAAGAAGAGGCAAAGAAATTTATTTACACTGGTAAAAGCATAGAAATTAAATATAAATAGGTAAAAACACATTTCAAAAATTATAGGTTATGAACAAGTAAACAAATGTCAAATGTTAGAAACCTAACCATATGAATTAACTGTGACGTCATGACTTATTTAACCGTAGTATTACATAGTATTTACGCGAAAAAACGACTAATAGACTATACTTTGACAGATACATAACCTGAAAAGCCTTAAATGTCAAAGTATTGTACGGGAGCAACTAATGGATTCTTGTTATTTTCAGGTTTTATATATTTAACAAGTCACGACTTGACACAGTCAACGAAATGAGGTTATGACACAACAATCCGTCAAACAGTAATTCTATAAGGATCATGGCAATCTTGGTTTAGTAGCATGATTTGTATCATGGTTTAGTAGTACTAAACCAAGATGGCACTTATGTACTAAATCCCTTGTCTATGCCTTGAAAATTTGATTTTAAACAAAATAATTTACCAAGTTTTTACACTAAAACGATTATACCACAATTAACTTTAAATTCCAATCTTATTTGTTTGCTATTGCACATAAAACTATTATTTAGCAGCACGTGATCGTTAGGGAAAAAAATAGAATTTGAAAAAAAATCATATCTTCTTAACGAAAAGTTTGGGCTAACAGTCCCTCAGCCAAAATGCAGTTTGGACTGTCTACTTTTTGATAACAAAAAAATAAAAATACACATTTTGAAAAATTAATTTTTTTTTATTGTATAAAAAAATTATCACAATGAATTTAAAATTTTTGTTACTTTTAATGGAAAGTGTTAATAAGTACAAGCATTTTGCAAGTTCAATTGTCAAAATCGGTCAATTTTTGAACAAGTTATACGCAAAGATAATATTTGGTTATACGCATTTAAAAAAAAGCTTTTACGGTCAACGGAAAAAATCGATTTTTACCGCCAAAAATGAACAACAAAAATTTGTTTTCGCCAAACAAAAAAATACGTGTCTCATTATTTCGACCAAAAAACGACATATTTAAGTTTCATAGTAAAAGAAAATCATGTCCTGCGCGTACCGGTCGTTTTGAAATGAAAAGACCCTTAAATGTTGTAAAATAATAAAAACGGTGCGGTATTTGTGTTATTTGCTTGATTATTATAGGTATATTATATTATATTATTATATACAAGGTGTCCCTAAACTTATTGGCATAAATTAAAGAAAAGATTGAGCAAGTAAAAATAAGACGAAAACCTAAATAAATATTTTTCCTAATTACTTATGTTTCCAAGATACAGGGTGATAAAGTGTTACTTATCATATCAGTTTTTTAATACAACTTCTACTATGGTAGTCTTGGAAAGGTGATATTTTGCGAATAGTCACTTACTACCGAAACACATATTCACACATAATTACAATTGTTTGAGTAAACACAGTGTCGTAGAAACGGGGCTTGCTTTAAGCTTATTGTCCCATACAAACTTTGAGGTTAGGTTTTTGTAACATTTGATGCAATTTTTCTATTACACAGTTCAGCTACCATTAAAAAGGTGTACCTCTCAAACTTCGATAAAATAAACCGTTTTCGAGATATTCGAGATTACAATAATTGTTATATCGCAATATTTAAAAGGATTAAAAGGTATATGACAACAAATTTTATTTTTTAATTGAAAAAACTAAAAAGGGCATTCCATGAGCATCGGGACTTTTTGCCCTGACCGTCACATTAAACAAAATTGTAGTTTTTTCAATTAAATTTTACCTTTTAGTCCTTTAATGCGATATAACAATTATTGTAATCTCGAATATCTCGGAAACGGTTTATTTTATCGAAGTTTGAGAGGTACACCTTTTTAATAGTAGCCGAACTGAGTAATCGAAAAATTGCATCAAATGGTATAAAAACCTAACCTCAAAGTTTGTATGGGACAATAAGCTTTAAGCAACCCCTGTTTCTACGACACTGTGTTCACTCGAACAATTGTAAATATGTGTGAATATGTGTTTTGCTAGTAAGTGACTGTTTGCAAAATATCACCTTTCCAAGTCTACCATAGTAGAAGTTATATTAAAGAAACTGATATGATAAGTAACACTTTATCACCCTGTATCTTTTAAACATACGTAATTAGGAAAAATATTTATTTAGATTTTCGTCTTATTTTGACTTGCTTAATCTGCTCCTAAATTTATGCCACTAAGTTTAGGGACACCTTGTATATTATTGATTATTATATATTATATATGTATATATATCTACAGGTTTTTACAATAATCAAAACTTTCCCAAAAATCAATAAAAATTCATTGACACATCCCACTGAGCAAAAAATCATTTCTGCAAAGTTGCTTTGTAATCTGTAATGTTGAATTCAACCGTATTACAGCCGGCAATTCTTATGCAATATTATATTGTAGCAACCCTAATTCCTCCAACATCTATGGACCAAACCATAACCTCAATTATTTGACTGCATTCTTTATTTAAATGTCGAAATGGGACTTAAATGTGGAATATAATAATTAATTATAAAAATATAGTGAAAAACAAATTCAAACTAATAATTTTATTCAGGGTCAAATGAAAACATACGGTAGAATAATCCCGGATTCGGATGGAAAAATAAACGCCCAATCAATACTACTAGAAGGCACTCAACAGTTAAATATGGCGCATACGGTAACTTTAAACATAAACAAAGTGCAAAAGTACGCGCTCTTTCCTGGCCAAGTGGCCGTTGTGGAGGGCAGTAATGCGCACAATGGGACATTTTATGCGGAAAAAATGTTTACAGATGCCTCGCCGAGTTTACCAGTGGAGCCACCAAACATAACAAATGGTAAGTAATTAAATTTTAAGAGTTTTATATTAGAATATAAATTACTTATTCTTTATTAATAATTGCTATAGCAAAATAAGTCAAAATAATACTAAAAATCAGCATACAAGTAATTTTATTTACAAGTTAGGAATAAACAAAATAATGTATTTATCCTACAAAATAATAAATATATATCAGTCAATCTTAAAAAATAAATTATAACTTTTAAAACACTGGTCAAATTTAATTTTTTAGGTAAAAATGCATGGCTTACTTAAAGGACAAGGGTAGATAAGCCATATAAATACTATTGTTGCAAAAGGCCTCTGCTTTCGCTTTAGCAGCTGCGGAAGTTCTGCATACTTTTTCACATACGGTTTTGCATCTGGTTCCGCATTTTTTATATCGGAAGTTTATCGAAACTTTTTAGAAATGGCAAGATTGACGATAAGCGCGTTTATTAGCTAATTGAACCGGAGGCGCGGACGAAGTGGGGAACATAGTAAGCCGGCACGTCACCGTAAGAAGCGAGAAAAATAAAAATTGATAAAAACTTGTAGTATTTAGGTATACTTCCGCATTCGCTTCCGCAAAAATTTACTATTTCCACTTCTGTTATGCACATTTCCGTTGCATCACTAATTAATACATAGTGTTTGTTTTAATAGATTTAACATTTGAAAACCAGTAATTAACATTTAAATATCTACCCTTGTTCTAAAAATTGGTAAACAGGCAAAATTACGTTAAAAAATGTACACTTCACTTGAACAATATTTTCATGATCTCATTCATAGCCAAATTTCGTTCAGCTTCCGGCTTTTTTCTTAGCATCAAAACCACCAAATCGCCGAACAATTTTTCCGGCGTCTGTTCTTCCGGCGGCTCTGGGTTTTTTTGTTTCTTAATATCTATAACCAGTGGCGGGGTTTCGCTGGTTTCGCTGCTGGTCCTTTTTCTCGCCGCTGTGCTGCTCAAAGAACTATCAGGTTTTTGGTAGGACTTTTGTAGGTTTAGGTCAAAATTTTCTCTTAGTTCTTCTTTTATCGTGAAGTCGTTTGATGAGTCGTTGTAAGAGTTATCTTCGCTTCCCGAGTAATAGTAACCTCCTTCACTTTCCTGTTTTTTGGAGTCCATATGGTTTAATGATGAGCTACAATTTGGTTCCATTTCGTTAACTTTTCTTCTGTAGAGGATCACACCATCCAGAAACTTCATGTCATCTAGTAGCTCCCATTTTTGCTCTCCGACTTGTTGGAATTTGTTTTTTTGCCGTATGTATTTTTCTCTTAACGCCTTCCACCTCAACATGCAATAATGCGCATCCTTGTTCATTTTCTTGCCTATTTTTTGCCATAATTCGTTTTTAATTTGCCTATTCATCGTGTACGTGTTACAATTTCTATTCCAAATATGTTCCGTATCCCTCACGAAAGCAATCAAATTCTTGTCGAAAGAATTCGACATTGCAGGCACGTTATTTAAAGATGAAAAATCCGGAGAAGTGCACAAAGGGTTATCTTTTGAGAAATTGTTGTATATGGAATGTTTTTGCCGCTCTATTATGTGAGGGTCCAGGAAACTCAAATAGTTTAACAATTCCCATGATTTTGACGTGGAATTATTTTCCGCTGTTTTTTCCCGTTCGCGTATATATTTTTCACGCAGTCCTTTAAACGATTGTTTACAAGCATCACCTTAAAAAAATATCAGTAATAAAGTTGTATTCAGGGTTTAAAAAATAATCTAAGTTAACACTTTAGGGTAGGCTAGTATGCACTCATTATCAAGACACTTTCTATACAGTGTCTTAATAATGACGCAGTACCAGGTGATAAAGGAGCTTATTTTGAGTAAAAATTACTTAAATACGATAAAATTAAAAAAGTTAATTAATGCTATTTTTAACAAAAACGACTTTTTGCAATAAAAATTTGATTACAACATATTTAGGTAAATTAATATGAAATATACATCATTATATTTTGGAAAATAATGTTTTAAAATGTGTTTTTGAATTTCCAAATAGTTTTTTTTAAACCGCCTGAGCTACTCAAAAAACATTAATAATACCTTAATATTAAGTTTTGCAATATGTGGCAACAATTGCAATTAGCCCCTCCCACAATATGTTAATAATATGAATAAACTTTCTTAATACATTTTGAGGCCAGAAAGCGATAAAATGTTTTTTTTGGTACTGTGGCGCCACCTACTTTTTGCATTATTCATCCTAAATCACCCACCTAATGACATAAATTGAGAACCAAGAACAGAAAGTAATAGTTTATTGCAGTGATTTACTATTAAATTTAGGAAGTGACTAGTGCACGGTCTAGACAGTGCACTATAAAAAATACCTGCACTGTCTAGACGGTGCACTATAGAAAATACCTGCACTGTCCAATATTCTCTGATATACGCGATATACGCAAAACACTGCTTAGGTTATGTCACGATGTCTGATTTGTTTAAGTAGGTTTTTATTAGATTCTGTTTTGTGTTTATTATTGTAAATACTATAAAATGAATAATATACGATTCATAAACTTTCAGTTGGCGGTTGGAGCTGAAAGTTACATCATTAAAAATACATTCATAATGTGCTTTATAAATGCATGCATGTGTATCTCTATTGACCAATGGGGCGGAGGGGGGCCAATGGGGTGGGGTCGGTTGGGTTGTGTTGTTGAGTTTGGGTTGGTTTTGGTTCGTTTCGCTTACTTTTGCCCATTTTATTTGATTAACAGTAGATTAGCTGATAAACCAAAGTGCATGTGCGGGATTGAAAGCCTTTGTGTATGGTCTGTAGACTCTAGTAACCGCCAACGCAAATTGAAAGCTTATGAATGGCGCTTAAGTGTCTGGCAGACACTGCAAAATGCAGAATTTTTAACCATGGACAGTGCAGGTATTTTTTATGCTGCACTGTCTGGACAGTGTAGGTATTTTTTAAAACTGCACTGTCTGGACAGTGCAGGTATTTTTTATAGTGCACTAGTCACTCCCTTAAATTTATTATTCTATATCTTTGTTAAAACAGAATTTTGATAAAATTGATACTTTTTGCAAAATAACCAAAAAAGTAAAATTAAACCCATTTATATTATATTTTTCTTAATAAATAACAAAAAAAACCGAGAGATTTTTTTTATTTTTGGTATTTTTTGTCTATAACAGGCATATAATCGATTTATGAAAAAAAACCGTGGTTGCCTGATGATCCGAAAATTGACCCTAAAAATCCACCGTGCAATGAGCCTGTCCGTTTCTTATTAAAATTTACAGGTTGTCATGCAGTTTTAAGTTATTATTATTTAAATTTAATAAACTCGGCAACACCCTGTATTAAATATGGAAGAATGCACATTGCTCTCAAAATAAACCATTTGTAAAGAAAAATGTAATCATTTTATGACAGTTCAACAAAACAATAAGCAATTAATTGTTAAAAACATAAAATAAAGTTAAATTATATTACTCACAAACTATTTCACATTATCGCGTGGCATGGGGCCATTGTGACACCCTATGTAAAAACAAATGTTCTTCAACCTTCTGAATTTTGAAAGATTGGCTCCAAATAAAAAAGTTTATCCACCCTAAACGTTTTGACATAAAAAAATCGTATAAAATAAAAAATATTACTTGTAGTTCCCATTAGGGTCGCAATAGTTTTCCAGGCAGTCTCCTTCATATCCTTCTTGTTGAAAAACTCATTGTTCCGGTCCCAAACTTGCGGGTAATTTTTTATAATTGCAATTAATTTATAATGATCCATTAATTTTAAGGTTAACTTTGCAAAAACACTGTTTTTTCTTCGAATATAAACAGAACTGTAACTGAAATCGCTGGTATTCTACTAAACCTATTCGACTTGCTTCACGTACTGAAGAAAATTCTGCTTTCAGTGACGTAAAAATTAATTAACTTATATTCAATTATAATAATGAAGCGTTTGTCTTTCTTTGTCTTTTCTCTCTCGTACAATCTAACGCGCGCCTCCTGAACAATACGTCCGTCTCTCTCGTACTTATTTATTATTTAATATATCCCCTCTCTTTCGCACCCTAATGGCATATGGCTCCCTCCACAAATCTATAAATTATTTTAATTAAGTAATTTAATTATATGATACGTTTGTCCTTGATTCCTAAGCGCGGATGTAAAAATATTAATTTATTAATATTACTTATAAGTACCTATAGAGAACGCACGTAAAATATTAATTGTTTTTATTTAATAATTTTGATGTCTGTAAGTACAATTAAATGCTTGCATACAAATAATTGCAATTAAACGATAAAAAAATAATCTAATTAGTGCGATTGTAATTATTAAACGATATCTTCTATTAATTGAAAATCATAATTGCCAATTAAATGTTTTGTTTATGATAATAATTATTATTATGTTCCAGCAGAGGCCAATATTTTTCTCCATTTGGTTTTTTTCGTTATTTTTATAATATCGTCCATTCTGGGTTATTACGAACACAGCGTTGTTTTCTTCTTTAATAATTATAGAAAAAAAGAGTTTCATATAAAAAGCATTTATAATTTAATTTTTTATAGCACCACTTCAGCTGGTGATAGCCTCAGGACCCTTCACACTACCAAGTAACTTATCATATGAACCATTAAACGATATTTTAAAATACGTCGTGGAAAATCAGCCGAACATTCTCATTCTAATGGGTCCTTTTATAGAAGAAAACCACGAAGGCATTAACAACGGACAATTGACCGAAACTTTCGATGCTTTATTCGAAAAAATCATCGAAAATATTATGACAACATTGCAAGAAATTGATGTGGAAATCATAATAATGTGTTCTGCCAAAGATGCGCATCATCACCCTGTATATCCGACGCCTGCCTATAAAATTAACAAGGATTATCACAAATTGACTTTGGTTTCTGATCCTTGCATGGTTAATATCAATGGGCTTATTATAGGAGGCACAACTCCTGATATTTTGTTTGATATCAGCAATTCTGAACTTTACCAGTGAGAATTCTACTTTAAATTTTAATATTACCACAAAATTAAATATTTTTTGTAGGGATAAAACTCTATCAACCCCTGTTGATAGACTGGCGCGTCTGGCTTCACATCTTTTAAACCAGCAAAGTTTTTATCCATTATACCCTCCAAATTCAGAAATGAATGTGGATCATGAATTGTTAGAGCAACATGGGATATTTGAATGTATACCTCACATTCTAATATTACCATCTACATTAAGGCATTTTATTAAAGTAAGTAAAACATCCTTAATGTTTATTTTTTTTAATTACATTTTATTTTTCTTGCAGAATATAAATGGGTGTCTTGTTATAAACCCAGAAAGGACTACCAAAGGTTATGGAGCAGGAACTTTTTCACGTTTGGAAATAAACCCTGGCTCAAGCACTTCAATATGTAACAGAAGTTCCTGTCAAGTACTTCGTGTTTAATTTATTATTTTTTTAAATAATTTTTTTTTATAAATTTGAATTTTTTTCATTTTGTAGGTCCTGAAATGATATAAAATAAAAAAACAATTTTCTAATATTTGTTAATAAAGTACAGTCAAACTTTGATAACTCAAACCATGACTTGCCACAAAAAAACTTCGAATTATCAAGACTTCAAGTTATTAAATTACACATAATTCTCAATCTTGGCGCTATTGTCAACCAATTTGATTCAAGTTATCGAAGTTTGACTGTAATATGGTGTTTTAATTTTTTTACACAAACAATCAAAAAATACATCTGTCAGCCACGTTAACTTTAGGTAGCTACAAATGACTTTATTAATTTTTATTTAAAAGCTTAGTAACTTGTTAACTATTGTTAAAAAAAAATTATTGTTTTATAATTAATTGCCTAGAATGGTAAAAAAATAACAAAAAGGTTTTTTAAAAATTATTTATTAAACATGTTGCTAATATAGCTCCTTAACAATAAATTAAAATGATTTGTATATAAACGTTATTTTGGTTGACTAAACAACTTTTTAACTTTATTTGTTTTATCTAAACTCTTCTTTTTAACAGCAGGACTAAAATTCGAGGACAGTCTTATTTTTTTTAGTACATTTGGTGTGCCTTCAGATGCCTTTCGCTTTTTATCCTTAAAAAAGTTGTATTGATAATAAGTTAATAATTATTAAAAATTAAAACAAATTTACCTGTTCAATGGCAATTGTATTTTCAACCTGTGAAACAGATTGGAACAAAAAATTCCTAGAATTTTTAGCTGCGGCATTTCCACCAGTAGTGTTGGAAATTTTATTATATTCCGCCAATCTTTGCAGAACTTGATCACTTCTACTTAAAAATGAACCTCTTTTACTCTAAAAAAAACTTATAAATAAAAAAATATTTAAAGACTGCTTTGCACTGACACTTTTTTTCTCCAAACTCAACACTTGATTAGAACTCTTATTGACTTGCAAAACCTTTTTGCCCAACTTCAAAATTTGACTGTCAGAAAGATCCTCATCCTCCGCCATTTTTTTCGCCAGTTTTTCCTTTAAGAACATCTCCCTTTCATGGCGTTTTTTTCTCCATTGCTCTTCACTTTCTTCTTCATCAAGATATACGTCATCATCGTCATTGTCCTTGCTTTCTTCATCATTTGTCATAGAATCTAAAAACAAGTCATGCAAAATTTCTAAAGCTCTTTTGTTTTACTGACCTATATTTTTCCATTTGAACTGCCTCTCCCTTCCACTTCCGTGAAGTTCCCCATCTTCGAGCAAAAGTTCTTGTAGTAGTTTTATTTCCCTAGTGTCATCATCCAACATTCGACGCCTTAAAAAATGAAAATCTTTAAAAAGTGCCACATATTTAACGTAAAATATTTTTACATGTGAATTTTCTCCAAATCTTTCTTCAGTTTTTCTTGATTGAATTTTTCCTTATCGCCCAGTTCAGCTTCAAACTTATCCAACTCTTTTTCGTCTTCATCTGCACTCCCCCATTCCGATTCAGACAATTCTGCCTCTTTATCAAAGAATTCCGAAGGCTTATAAACAACGTGATCTCTTTCGTCATCATCTTCATTAGTTATTTCGATTTCGTTTTCCTCGGAATCATAGTCGACGTTTCTGTCGGTTTCTTCCTCCATTTCATCATCTTCATCATGAAGATCTATTTGTTCTTCGTCTGCATCTTCATCCTCATCATCTGTATCAACAATTTGCTGCTTTTTCCTTTTTCTAACACCCACATTTTCATCTTCATCGTCCGAATCTATGACGCCTCCACTAGCTGCAACTTCACTGGCATCATCTAGCAAGGATTTTTTAATGGGAGAATCAAATTTCTTCTTGAAATTCTCCAGCTCTTCTTCATCCAGCAACTGAGATATAATCAAGTCTTGATCAGTATCCAAACTCATGATTTCTTGAGTAGGATTAATGTTGTAAGTTTCGCAAGTTTTATTGCTGGGGTCTGTAAAACCCCCTGAGCAAACGTTCAGCAAATCCTGCGTTTTCAACTGTTCATCCTGACTTTGAGTGTCCGGAAATTGGCCAGTACACATATTGGCTAATTCTTCGATGTTTTGAGAGTCGCATTCTCTGTTGCTTTCGTCCTGCGAAAGTGGCTTGGTAGTAATCGAAGTATCGGCGTTCTAAAACAAGCGTGCGTTATTTGGAGTTTACCGCATGTTCGAGAACGTTCAGTAAGTAGGAACACGCAGTGTGATAAAGTCTTAATTAGTAATTAACTGTGGGCAAAAAATTAGTGACATTACAATATTTGCCAGAAAGAATAGACAATTTTTTAAAGTTTATTCTTTTTACTATATTTTATAAATATACGCATTTCATTTAACTTTAACCGGCGGGCGAAATTTTACTTCGCAACTAAGTTAAAACTAAAAAAAACAGTGGGGAGTCGAGACTGCTATACTGTAACTGCGCTGATAATCACTACTTGTGCTCAGGGTAACCGATTTAAGGTAGGTAAGCCAAATATTGCCACCTTAAGAGAAAAGATTCTACAACTTTGGTTGAAATTAATTTAGACAAAATTTTTTACTCTAAATCACAGCTATATACAGGGTGTTTCATAATATATGCGCAGGACTTCAGGATGTAATAGCTCATCCAAAAAGATGAAAAAAGTCGTCATTAACTTACGCTCTAAAATGCACAATTTTCGAGATACAGGGTGTTGAAATTTTAGAAAAAAATTCGTTTTTTTCGAATATCTCCGGAACCGTTTATCGTACAAAAAACAGCTTTTGTAAGCATTTTCTACTCAAAATAAGCTATGTTTTGTGCCAGAAAAAAAATAAGTACGGTTTTGAGAGGCCCATTCGAACCGCCAATGTTTTCTACACAAAAAAGGTACTCTTGGTCATAAACTCTAAACTTGACCGTTTTCGAGAAAAATCAACTTTTATGTTTAAAAACACATGTGGTCAATTTAAAAAAAAAATATTTTTTTTTACTAATTAAACAAAATTTATTTTAACATTAGAACAAGTAACAAAACCAAACCATAATTGCAAAATAAAAAATGATTCAAAAGTTGTCTTTGCTAAATTCTCCAAACCGTAAAGGTAACGCATTTCGCACATTTCAGCATTTGTGTAAAAATCATTTTTTATTTTTTTTTTTAATTTTGCAATTATCGTTTGGTTTTGTTACTTTTTCTAACGTTAAAATAAATTTTGTTTAATTAGTAATAAATTTTTTTTTTCAAAAAATTGACCATGTTTTTAAACATAAAAGTTGATTTTTCTCGAAAACGGTCAACTTTAGAGCTTATAACCAAGAGTACCTTTTTTTTGTAGAAAACATTGGCGGTTCGAATGGGCTTCTCGAAACCGTACTTTTTTCAGGGGCGTAGAAGTTGAGGAGAAAAACACCCGCTACCCCTTCAAAATCTCCACCAATTATGAGTCAAAAAAAATTTTTTCTGGCACAAAACATAGCTTATTATGAGTAGAAAATGCTTACAAGAGCTGTTTTTTGTACGATAAACGGTTCCAGAGATAATCGAAAAAAACGATTTTTTTTCTAAAATTTCAACACCCTGTATCTCGAAAATTGTGCATTTTAGAGGGTAAGTTAATAGCGACTTTTTTCATCTTTTTGGTTGAGCTATCACATCCTGAAGTCCTGCGCATATATTATGAAACACCCTGTATACAGGGTGTTCCGAAATTAGTGCACCATACTTTAACAGCAGATTCCACGTGCAAAAATAAGAAAAAAGTCCCTATAAATATAGATCGAGAAATGCCTCCTAAGGGAGCTACAGCCCCCGAAAAGAGAGCCCCTGAATATGGTTTTTATCTAATATTTATAAAAAAGTAGAAACACCCTGTCACTTACTACATGAAACTGTCACCTGTCTTGAATTATTCTATTTTTTCCTAAACATGGCAGTCATATTCCAAGGACCACGCGAGTCCATTTCTATGGTTGTGATTTAATTGTGAATTTTTATGCCATGTAAAATAATTTTCAAATCAATTTTAAGCGAAAACGGTGTATGTTAACGAAGTTCAACAAGATGACTTTTTTTATGTGCAAAACTCCAAAATTTCATAATCTGACATCAAATTCTGGTACAAGATACGTACAAAAAATTTAAGGTGGTTTTAACTCCACTTCCTATCAATCTGACCCAAACCTCATGAAATTTTTTAAACTGTTATTGTTACGTTTTATTGGTCATAAGAAGTTTAATTAATTCCCTAAATTTCATTTTTCTATCTTTAACGGTTTTGGAGATATTAAATAAAAACCATCTTTAGGGGCTTTCCTTTTGGGGGATGTAGCTCCCTCAAGAGGCATTTCTTGACCTATGTTTATAGGGACTTTTTTTCTTAATTTTGCACGTAGAATCTGCTGTTAAAGTATGGTGCACTAATTTCAGGACACCCTGTATATGAGTCATTCCACGTCAAACCGGACAGCTTTCTGACCACTAGTTCTCTGATTTTAAAATAATTTTTTTTACAGGTTCTTTGGAACAAATGAATAGATAGAACATTTTTTTTTTATTTTTATCACCCCTAGTTTAGAAGTTACAAGGGGTTGAAATTTCGCGAAAAAGCCCAAAAATCGAAAACACGGCCTCCTTCAACTGCCTATATCTCCGGTTCTATTCAACCTACAGACTTCATCAAAAATGCATTTTGTAGCTCTTGGAAGACACTTTCATGACATATATATTTAATTCCAAGATAATCGACTATTGCATTTGTTATAAACAATTATATTATTCAAACGTGATTTTCGAGACAATTGTCACTTTTTTAAATTTTGAAAAAAATATCATCGTATTCCTTGATCGATTCTCTATAAAAACCCAAAATTATAGGTTGGAGGATTGATAAGAACTGGGTCAAAACAGCGATTGATTCACAGGATACGCCGGTGGCGTCCGCGACGCGCACTGTTTGGCGCGCTTCGGGGTGATTCAACCTCAGGTTATGATAGGCAAGCAATTTAATACACATTCTTACATGATTGAATGACATGCTCGAATAAACTTCAGGTAGGGACAGGTAGAAAACATTGGCTTGGTTTTTGAAGGGAAAAAGGATTATAGGATTATATTCCGAAGAATTTCTACGTTATCTATTTTTGTGATATATTCAGGTAACTTCTCCATGGTATATTAGGTGCTGTAGATACACAATTCAGGTCAGTATCGTTCCAAAGTGTGTTCGACTAACATCTGGTGTTTGGTTTCAAAGTTTTGTATTTCAAGTTTTCATAGTGTTTTGCTTCATTATGATGAGTAATCTACATCACCAGTGTTTCAACCCGTTTAAGTTAGAGAAACACCGGTACCATAGAAAATGTGAACGCAAATTGAGAAATGTAAATCCGTCGCTGCTAAAAAAATTGAGACCGGAAAATCAACCTCCATCAGCGGAATCGAAAATTTGTGACACATGCCGACTGAAACTGGTCAAAATGCCCAATCTAAGTGAAGCCAGTAAAAGTTCTACGCTTACAAGTGAGGAAAGTTCTACGCTTTCAAGTGAGGATCCACAACCCAGCACAAGTGCAATACGGGGGCCGGACCGTGATGGGGTCTAAACAAGCAGTGAGGACTTCGTGGATATCGACACATTGAACGCATCTTTGGTTGGATTGGGAGAATCACCAATTAATAAACGAAAATTGCCGCAGAAGGGATATTCTCAACATAAATATCAAAAGCTACAGCAGACACTGGCTTCGAAAGTATTTCACTTGGAAGAAGACACTGAAAGCTTGAAGTTTTATTTTTTTTATTGGTCATTAAACTTTTTGTGTACCTTATGTTAATTTACCTTACCTTACATTTAAATTTTTTCACAGGTGCATTCATTAAATTTTTTGTTTACCTTATTTCGTTATTTTACCTTCTCTCTTTATTTATATTTATGATTTAAACTAAGCACATATCTATATTTATTACCCTATGTTCCTTAACTCAAAAGAAGGTGATTGGTTATTTCTAGATTTTTACATATACAGTGCTTGCAAATCCAAGTCCGACCGCGTTGGGAAGGATGGCTGTTCAATACCCGCGTGAAAAGAATAAGGATAGAATGCCAAACAGAATTTGATTGGTCAGAGCGTCAGGCGTGAGTATTGTAAGCGCCTTCTGTTTGGCGTTCTATCCTTGTTGTTTTCACGCTTCCTTCTCAAACCGGTCGGACTTGGATTTGCAAGCACTGTATGTATATGTATACATTAGGCGTCCCATACTCTCAATTTGCCCAAGGGCGTAAGGTTACGCCGCGTCACAGGCCGTGTCGCTGTTTTGACCCAGTTCTTATCAATCCTCCAACCTATAATTTTGGGTTTTTATAGAGAATCGACCAAGGAATACGATGATATTTTTTTCAAAATTTAAAAAAGTGACAATTGTCTCGAAAATCACGTTTGAATAATATAATTGTTTATAACAAATGCAATAGTCGATTATCTTGGAATTAAATATATATGTCATGAAAGTGTCTTCCAAGAGCTACAAAATGCATTTTTGATGAAGTCTGTAGGTTAAATAGAACCGGAGATATAGGCAGTTGAAGGAGGCCGTGTTTTCGATTTTTGGTCTTTTTTGCGAAATTTCAACCCCTTGTAACTTCTAAACTAGGGGTGATAAAAATAAAAAAAAAGTTCTATCTATTCATTTGTTCCAAAGAACCTGTAGAAAAATTTATATTAAAATCAGAGAACTCAAGGTCATTTTTCACCTGTTTTTGTCCGGTTTGACGTGGAATGACTCATATACCGAGTGTATCTCAGAATAGGCGCACCCCTGTAACTTTTTTATTTATAAAGATAGACACATGAAATTTAGCATGGTTAATTAGAATATAAAATGCCACTTATAAGAGTACAAAATGAATTTTTTGAACTTCCGGTTTTGCCAGAAATGATATCGACTTTCGATTTTTAAATGGAACGCCCTGTATATTTTTACATATTTAGAATCCTGAGAAAATTCTGAGTCGGACAGCATCCTCAAATTGACCTTTCGACGTTTCGTCATCAGAAGAGGCATCATCATAAAGATCAATCTAGAGTGCTTTGAACTATTTGAAAAAAAAACGAATTTTGACAAGTTTAGACTGCTGGGAATAGCTAAATAACAACTTTCTAAGGCAAGCTCTATTTTTTAGGCATTGTGTGAATCCATTAGAAGAAAATAAGATAGTTCAATGCACTCTAGATTGATCTTGATGATGCATTTTCTGATGACGAAACGTCTAAAGGTCAATTTGAGGATGCTGTCTGACTCAGAATTTCCTCAGGATTCCAAATATGTAAAAATATATAGGGCATTCCATTTAAAAATCGAAAGTTGGTATCATTTCCGGCGAAACCGGAAGTTAAAAAAATTCATTTTGTACTCTTATAAGTGGCATTTTATATCCTAATTAACCATGCTAAATTTCATGTGTCTATCTTTATAAATAAAAAAGTTATAGGGGTGCGCCTATTCTCAGATACACCCGGTATATATACACTTCGCGTCAAATTTAACGCACCACTAAAAATTTTCCACAATTTCAAAGGTGATTTTCTCGGGAACCGTCAAAACGACTTTGGTGATTTTTTTAATAAATTGTAGGTTTATTCTTCGGTAATAATACGTTTATTGAAATATTCTTTCAAATTTACATTTTGAGTATATACAGGGTGCACGAGTGATAATAAGTTTTTTCCCGAAAATTTGAGATTAGAAAAGTAGTTTTGAGTATGAGCCGTCGATGTGAAGACGTAATTAGAAGTAGAGGCGAAAATACGCGATATTTATATTTTTTAATGTTGGTTTTATTAATTTTGTTGATATTTTTATTGTTATTGGTACAATCGTTCTTTTTACATTTTTTTATTAAACTGGAGTTCTTTAATATTTAACTGTATATTTCTTTTAAAAATAAAGATAACGCGGTGAATTAAAAAAGAAAATGTTAAGAGAAGATGGGGCTATAGTTTGATTATAAGAGAAATATGCTGTTATAGCTGGTACGACCCACAGGGCGTTTCAAATTTACAGGAAAAAACTTATTATTACTCTTGCACCTTGTATATACTCGAAACGTAAATTTGAACAAATATTTTAATAAAGGCGTCATAACCAAAGAATAAACCTACAATTTAAAACAAAAACTACCAAATTCGGTTTGACGGTTCGCGAGAAAATCAACTTTAAAATTGGCAAATTTTTAGTGGTGCGTTAAATTTGACGCGAAGTGTATATATACAGGGTGAGTTTTAAGTTGACGCGTTCCTTTTAACAGCGTGTAGAAATCAGATAAACAAATAAATATTTTAAGTAAATTTTTTATCAAAACTCAAAAATAAGAGAGTTATAGGCCTTCCAAGTTTAATTAAATTTTGAGCCGGTCCTGGCTATTGTTAACAAAAAACATAACCATAAAAATAACAAAATAAACAACGCCGTGTCTAGAGTCCCGTCAGACGGTTCCCTATTGCGCTCCCGTTAACAGAGTGACGTCATCCAATGACGCAATCTTAGGACGGGAAGCAGATCTTTTTTCCTTAACTAACGTCCCGAGTCCGCCCGATTCGAAACCAACCCAAACCCAACAACCTAACCCAACCGACCCCGCCCCATTGGTCAAATGGTCAAAAATGAGAGAAAACAACCCAAACCAACCCAAACTCAACAACACAACCCAACCGACCCCGCCCCATTGGCCCCCCGCCGCCCCATTGAGTACAAATTTTTCAACGAAGGAATATATTCATTTAATTACATTTTATATTATATAACTGTAGCAAAATGATTATGAGGAAAGGTAAATAAATTAAAATATTAATGTAAAATTAAATATAAATGTTTTTAAGGCCACATTGTATTATTTCGGTATATAAATTCTTTAAAAAAAAATTAAAAAGAATTGTAGAGGCGCCAAGTATCGAACCCCGTATCTCTCGCATGCAAAGCAGGCGCCCTTCCATCGAGCTACCGAGCTTATTGTAAAAATCCTATCGCTCGAAAAATAATACCGATTTACAGTGTGTGACGTCATAAAGTGTTAACGGGAGCGCAATAGAGAACCGTCTGACGGGACTCTAGACATTATGAATAAACAATGCAAAATGTCATCTATGACAACAAACATAAGCATTTAAATCAAAATGACATTTAGCAATGAAAAATGTCAGTTTTTTGTGCCTCAATTATTGTTAAAAATGGTTCATAATCATAACAATAATGAATTAGTGGAAATGTTACTAATTTATGGAGAGTGTCGTCAAAATGCAAATGCTGCAACTTAGGTAAATAATGACATTTTTTATTGCAAAATGTCAATTTGATTTAAATGGTTATGTTTGTTGTCAAATATGACATTTTGCATTGTTTATTTTGATATTTTTATGGTTATGTTTTTCGTTAACAATAGCCAGGACCGGCTTAAAATTTAATTAAACTTTGATGGGCTATAACTTTTTTATTTTTGAGTTTTGATAAAAAAGTTAGTTAAAATATTTATTTGTCTAGCTGATTTCTACACACTGTTAAAAGGAACGCGTCAACTTAAAACTCACCCTGTATATATATATATATATATATATTAGGGTGGCCCAAAAAAAAAGAATATTTTTTTTCTCTTGTCTCTTGTAAAAATATGTTGGTTTGTCATGTTTTAAGAGCTCTGTCAAAAGATCAGCTCCATTAAATAAATTTTAGGGGTAGCTCAGGATTTTTAAAAATTTCCAAAATCGTCAAAAATTGGATTTTTTTTTATTTTAATTTTTTTCTCGTTCCGTTATTATTTTTTAATTTAAAATAATAATGATTCTGAAAATTTCAAATCGATATTTGGATTTCTAAAGGTCGCTCAAGATTTTTTTAACTTTCAAAGTAGAATATTTTGAATGTTTTTGAGCGACCTCTGAATATAAATATCAACGAACTTTTAGCGACCTTTAGAAATCAAAATATTGATTTGAAATTTACAGAATTTTTATTATTTTTAACCAAAAAAATAATATCGAGACGAGAAAAAAAATTAAAATAAAACAAAAATTCAATTTTTGACGATTTTGAAAACTTTAAAAAATCTTGAGCGACCCCTAATTTTTTTTTAATTGAGCTGATATTTTGACAGGGCTCTTACATCATGATAAACTAACATATTTTTACAAGAGACGAGTAAAAAAAAATATTCTTTTTTTTTTTGGGCCACCCTAATATATATATATATATATATATATATATGTTTACCTTTTTATATTTTTAAAACAATAAAATTTAAATTATCTAAATATATATCTTTCCAAGTATCTTTCTTTTAAATATTGCAAACAGCCAATATTTGCAACAGTGGTTTCAAATATTGCTGGGGTTTTAAAAATATTTGAATTAAGCAATTTAGTGTCTTTATTTTGTAACATTTTTGTAATTTTTTTATTTGAAAATATTTTTTATATGCCTAGTTTTGCGTGTTCGTTTTAGCACTATTAATGTCGCTTCTAGTATTTTGTCTGCCCTTTGCCAATATTTGGGAATTAAGGGGCAAATTGGCAATAGATAGTTTAACAAAAATTAGGGCCACGTCCCTTTTTTTTTAACCTCGTGCGCGTCTACAATGCTGTAGTTTTTTCTATCTTTGCCTCCCCCTCAGTATACTGAGTATACTTTAACGCAGGGGCACTTATAGGCATGTCTAAAACCAGGGGTTATTATTTTATGTCTAAAAATACCCTTGAGTTAAAGTTGCTTGACATCTGTCCGATTTCAGATAAAATATCAAATATCACTAGTTACACAATTAGTATATTGTTATACCTGGCATTCATTTTCACCAAATAGATTCTTCTGTAATCCCACATGCCAATTTGGATTTTTGAATGGAGATGGGTCTGACTGTATTGGAAATGCGGAAACCGGTGAATCTTTGGCCTAAAAAGAAAATTAGAATAAAACCCTGATTTAACAAAAACAAAAAAATACCTTATTTGTTAAATTTAAGTTCTGCAATCCAGTCATAAAAGTGATTGGGGTTAAAAAATCGAATTCCGATTTTTGAGGAGTTGCAATCTTTTTATTTGGTGTTTTGCTGCTTTCTGGTTGGTGAAGCAGAAGAACGTCGTCTTCATTGTTTTTCAAAGTTTCATTTAAATCTTTTTCTTCATCTGAATCCTCAGTGAAACCTTTTAAGATTCTTTTCAGGGTTTTTTTCTTTGGTACAATGTCATTTATGTTGTCATAAACGTCGGAATAGTTGGAACTTTGGGTGGTTTCATCCATGTTTTCTTCTGGGTTTTTATCATCTTCATTATCTTCTTCCTCGTCTTCATCTTCAGCCTCATCATCTAAAAACTTAGATTTTTTTCTTGTCTTTTCTTCCAAATCTTCATTTTCTGATTCTGATTCACTTAATTCTTCTTCTTCTTCATCATCCAGAAGCTCATCATCTGCATTCTCTTCATAATCAGGTTTTTCTAAAATTTTGAAATTCATAAGTTAAAATTGTAATATTTATATAAAATCTTACCATCTTCTTTGGACTCATTTCCGATATTTTTTTGGAATTTCTTCTGCCAAACTTCCGATCTTTTCAACGCCATTTGATTTTGCAACTTGTCTCTTAATTTTTGCAATTTTGCCCCTGGTTTTTCCTCAACTACAGAAGTATCTTCATCATCCACATTCATAGCCAAAGTTTCCTTATGAATTTCCCCACCACTCACACTAACAATACTTACTACATTAACTTTATGTTTGTTTGTATGTTTTACAGAAGTATGCTGATGAAATCTTTTGATGAGTTTTGATACTTCATTTTCCTTTGTGACTCCCAATTCTAAATCAATATCTTCTTCAGGAGCACCACTTAGTTTGGGAGTTATACTTGCCAACTTTTCCTTCAAAATATCCTTTATTGATTTTTTTGACACTTCCTTCTCATTTGATGTTTTTTCTGCATGCATCTCTGAATCTTCTATGTCATCTATGTTGAAGTCAAAATCTGTTGAAATTCTCAATTTTGTGTTTTCTGTGTTGATTTTTTCACTTTCTTCTGTTTCCTTTGAGGTTTCAGGTTCTTTTGGAGTTTCTTCATCATCTAGTAGATTGTAGTACTTCAAGTCTTTCTTACCTATTCCCTGATTATCTTCATTTTCTATATTTGCTTTAGAATCATCTACTTCCATAGTTTCTGTAAAGATTAGGTTTAGATTTTCAGATGTTTTACTTTCTTTTGGTGTTTCTTCAGTAATATGAGAAGGAATTTCATTCAAATCATTTTTTCCCTTAGTTTTTTCAGTGTTTTCATTTTCAGGAACATAATCTTTATCATCTTCATCTTCTTCATCTGATTCACTTTCAGATTTATAAAATTCTTTAACTTCTTTTTCACGTTCCTTCATTTTGTTTCTAAAACAAAAATTAAAAAAAAATGTATTGCAATTTAAAATACTTACGAGACAATTTCAAGCATATCCCTGGACATTTTAATGGCAACTGAGGGGGGAGTTTTGGCTGCAATCGGTATTGAAGATGCCAATTTGGATCTTCTTGACAAAAATTCTTTTAATGTGTATGATTTTGGTTTATGATATGGCAAAGAAACATTTGATTCTCTCAACATTCTTTGTGATTCTGAATGTATTTCCTTTCTTTGTTCGGCTGCTTCTTTGCCTGTCATCTAACAATTTAAAAAAATAAGATTTTTTTTAAATTTCATTTGTAAAATACCTTTTTTTCCTCTTCATCTTCCATTTTATTACTTTTTGTAGATTTTTTATAAATAACTGGTTTAATAGCATCATCTTCTTCATTTTTCCTTTCTTCACTTTTATCATCAACCACTTCCTCATCTGATGATTCTGAATCGCACAAGGCTAACAAACAATTTTTCTACACAAAAAAATTAAACATTAAATAAAAAACCCACACACTTCTGTGGGTAAAAGGCATAAGGGGATAAGTCAAAAATAGCTTTTTTTCAATAATTCAGAAAATATATTTTTGTTTAGCGGATATACGCTTTTGTTAGCACATGACATGTGCTAAAAAAAGGGTATACCCGCTAACCGTAAATATGTTTCCTGAATTACTTCGAATAAGTTTAAGGCTCTACTGAAAAATTGCTTTTTTTGACTTATCCCCTTATGCCTTTTACCCACAGACTTTAAAAGTACCTGATCTTTATTTTCTTTATCATTTGTTTTATAAATGGGAGCCTCAATTTGTTCTTCTGTACTTTCTGGTATAGACATTTTCTCAGACTGACTTTTATTATGTGGTGTAATTTCAATTTCTTCCTCTGAATAACTAGGGTTATTTATTTGTCTGTTTTTATCCCCTTTCGTATATATAATATATTTACTTGTATTTTCTTCAGTCTCATTGAAGGTTTCTTCAGTTTTGTCATTATTACCTATTTCTTGGTCTTTATTTGAATTAGATGAAACATCACTTGTAGAATCAACTTCCATATTTATTGTTTATATAATAATTAAGCCCCTTACAACAATTTATATAATAACTAGCACTTAATAAAACATCCCTTAAACATAAAACCCAGTTTTTAATTATTTAAAATAACCATAGTTTTGCAATATTTTTGATAAAAATATCTGAAATCTATTATATAGGTACCATAAAAAAAGAATATATGGTGGTTGTCTATGACTGAAATGTCAAAATATTTTCGCGGGATTTTATCTCAAAGTAGGCAACCCAAAATACATTTTAAAATATTTTTTTATCTTTAGACCAAACTATAGTTTATAGTCACCAATGTATTCTGCTGTGTACAATTATACATGATTTATTTATTTAACACTGGTGTTGAATTTAAAAAAAAATAATATTAGGTAAGTCTTATTTTTTAACTTTCAACTGTGCCGCAATTTTCTAGGGAATTTATCTGTGTTGGCTGCACTGCATTAAAGTATGGTTTCGTTTTAGTATAACAAATTTGTTAAGTGCATGATTTGGACCTTGAGCAGCTCAAGTTGAGCTGTCATAATAATGACCAGTAAAAACAGGCTATAGACTATAGTTATCTATTTTGGCAGCTAACCTAAAATAAAATCAACATTTGAAACATTTATAATTAAAATCAATTACAATTACAATTCCAAGATAAAAAATTAGATAATTAGTTTTAAGAGTTGAACAATTAAATGTTGGACTGTTGTTCTCAGTATGTATGTTACGTACGATAGTGTAATAGTGTTTATTAGTTTATAAAAACTATAAAATGAGTTCAGTTAAGGAGTATCACAATTTTTTACAAGATAGAAAGGATGAATTTAGCAATGTTTTGTTTATGTCGAAAGCGGTGAGAGCTAAGAAGTCTTTTTACCAAAAAAAGTCTTTATCTCCTGCTGACCACAAAGTGGAGGTTTTAAAGAGCAAAAAAATACAAGAGTTAATCAAAACTGTAAGTCTACAAATAGTTTAAATAGTATATTTTTTAATGTATTTTTTAGGTATCAAAGCAAGAAAATATAGCAAAGGAAAAACTGCTAGAACAAGTTCAAGAGATTTTAAACGAAATAGGATATAATAAGAACTGGAAAGTTATCCGATCTCTGGGTTTATTGTTGACTAAAATATGTTTGAAAACTTGCTCGGGATTGTATTTAAATGTCGCTGGAGTTAAACTGGTAGGTTTTATTACTTTAATTTAGGTAGATACTTTAAACATATCTACAATCAGAGCTGTTGTAAGTTCCAAGAAAAAGTACTTAAGTATTAAGTACAAGTTTTTTTTAATACGAAATAAGTATCAGTACAAGTATAAGTAAAGAAGGAAATACTTAAAATATCAAGTAAATTTACTTGAATTATCCTAATTTAAGTACAAGTACCATTGTTCATGAAAATCAGAGTGAAGTTTAACTAGTAAGTAAATACTTATAAGTTTATAAACTTGCAAAATTGAAATGATATTTAAGTACAAATACTTTTAAACATAATTTAAGTATTTTTTATTTTAATTAAAGTTTGGATTAAACTAACAAATTAAATTATTGCTTATTGATAAACTTAATAGTAAATATTAAGTATAATAATGAAACAAAATTGTTTTTGTTAATGTTTTTTATTAATAACAGGATTAACATAAACGAATTACTTAACATAAACAATTACTTATGGTAAGAAATAACTAAAACTTATTTGCTTTTAAAGTAACCACTTTTTCGAAATTGCCGTCACTTAGTGCATGTCTACTAAACGCATTAATAATTTGGGTAAAACTAAAAAGGCGCAAATAATTTTAATTCCCTACTGAGATTCGGTTAGATTAATGAATACCGCTGTACTTGTTAGTTTATTACTTACTAAAACCATGATGATTTTTGCTGGACACATGCTCAGACACAGGGATTGGATTTGGAATTGAGAAACAATATGTCGCACAGCTTGGCTGCACGCCTATTTTCACGAACTACCATTTTGTTTTTTAAGTAAATTGTATTTAGGTATTTAAAAATACTTCAACTAAAACTATTTACTACAAATTTTCGAATGTTTTGAAGTACAATATACTTGAATGATATTTTAAGTACCAACGTTTGTATTTGTACTTAAGTCTTAAGTCAGTACAACAGCTCTGTCTACAATTGGGGCATTTTATGTGAGGCAGACAACAAAAAACATGTAAGATTCTGAAATTTGTTCTTATTTTAATTTTTATTCTTATAGAAAACTGAAAAAATTTACGTAGCATAAAGTAGGTACATAAAAGTTTTAAAATGGGATCTACATTAGTTTTATATTTTGAAAAAAAATGATTTAAAAAAAAGTATTGAAGGGCGCCATTCCACGCTTAACGGATAGGACGTTGTAATAGTCCCGTCCGTTACGCTTTAAATTATTAATTTTTAAGGAATTAAACAGTCAATCACGATACCTAATTTTGACAAATAAAAACCTTGTTAAACAGCTTTTGTTTAGAACTATTTATAAAAATTTGACATTGGTAATATAATAGAACAATATTCTTTTGTAAATAAAAACACATCAACTGTCCTATCCGTTAAGCGTGGAATGGCCCTGAAGTTATTTAAATTTTGATTTAAAATGTTTACAATAAAATTTCAAATTTGATTTTATAATAAAAAAAAATAATTTTCGATAAAAACCACTGTTTCATATTTTATTGTAAATTTGTTAAATTTAAATAACTGCTACCAAAAATTCCGTACTTCATATTATGTTGACAATCTTTAAAAGCCCATAACTTGACAACCAAGCTTCATACAAAAAAAAATGGTGGGTTTACATTCACACCTTCTAGAAGTACAATTAGGCTAAATATGAACGAATTTCAAAATCTCAAAAAAAACTTAGTTGTCTACTTCACATGAAATGTTCCAATGGTTATTTTATCCATAAATATAATTTACCTACATTTTTTTTTAATTTCTAATTTAACTCAAGGTTGACTGATAATATTATTAATTAAAAATAAAATTGAAAAAATGTATGTAACATGTTTTTATTTTGATTATAACTAAATACAATTTAAAGTAATAGCTATTTACAAAAGTTACAAATTCATGTTTAAAAAATAAATAACTTACCTATAACTTATTGTTTAATTGATATTGATATCTTAAATGGTACTTATAATATAAGTACCTATAAAGGTTTAAGGTCATATTTTATTATTTATTTACCATATCATTAAAATTAGGAGTTTATCACATATTTCCTAATCAAATACTAAATAAACATAAATAATAGTATATGTATCAAGTTTGATAAACGCCATTTTAGTCACGAATTTAATTTAGCCTAATTAAATAATAATTAAATACTTAATATTATCTAAAAAATTATTTAAATTCAAATAATATAATAAAGCGACATCTATACAAAAATAAAGTGGGATGGTTACTTTATTTTCTTATAATAGTATATTACACTACAAGGGCAGAAAGTGTGAGATTCCTGCACTGCGCGCCATGATGCCCGAGGCGAAGCCGAGGGCATCATGGCGCGCAGTTCAGGACTCTCACACTTTCTGCCCGTGTAGTGTATACTATTTTTCTTACTACCCTGCAGAAAATACGGGAAAAAATTAAATGTATATAAAAAAATTTGTGTCGAAATTAAAATCTGACGTTTAATTTAATTCTGACGTTTACATTCAAAATCAATCAAACTGTAGCGTTGTCATGGTAATTCAGCGGTGCCAATACAGTAAAAATAAAAGGTTGTATTTTAATTAACAAATTACTACTTTATAACAAATAAAAGTACCATTAAACACTTAAAACAACATAAAAAGTAAAAAAGTAAAAACATAAATTGTTTATTTGTTGTTATAATTGCAAAATTATGGTTTAAAACTGTCATATTTTTGTGTTTCTCATGTTGGCAGTACGAAATTTAAATGTTAAGCACGCGACTAAAAAATTTTTACTCCCGCTATTAGAGTGTGCGCGTATAGCTTGACCAATGCAAGAAACGTAAACTTTCTGCCGTGAAATCGGGGACGAAACAACGTATTTTGAGTCGAGGTAGTAAGAAAACATTTTTGACGATATTTTGACCATTAACATTGCCTATTATTATTTTAATTAAACTTAACAATTATTGATACTTAAAAATATTAAAATAACTTCAAAATATCATTATGTTAAGAAAATATGTTATCCTTTGATTTTTTTAATACTATAATTGCAAAATATCACAAAGTATTACAAATTACAAAAAGTGACAGCTGTATTTATTGGAATTAAACTGTTAGAATTTCTACCGGCGTTAAAATCTAAAATGCACTACTACAGCGAAATCAAAAGATCAGTCCAAACGTTCATGTCTTTTCAAATATTGGCGTCAAGAAACTATTTAATACTTCTGTTTTTTTGTATTGAGATATTAAAATAAATTTTACATTTAGTATTATTTGACAAGAAAGGCACTTTATTTTAACGATTGTGTGACATTTGACAGCTGTCAACTAACTTAAAACTAACTTCAGTCCGTGACTAAAAACTTGTTGCTAACTTCAGCCTGTGACTAAAGTGCCATAAAGCCACAGCTTGTGTGTATTTAAAAGGTCACTTAGTGTCATGGAAACATGTACGATAAAGGTCGTGGAAAAAAATATATAGGTATACCTACTCACCATACAAATACTATTTTTATTATAATTTTAAAAAAATAGTTCAGGTGTTATAGGTACTACCTACATACACATAAAAATTTAAAAATAAAATAATGAGGGTGTTACATAAAAATTTTGTATAGATGATAGAGATATTTTTTTATTTTAAACCAAAGTCCAAAATTTTAAATATATTTTTTTAGCTTAGAAGTAAAATGGGCAATTGCCCAGTAATATTTGTGCCTACACATAGAAGTTATGCTGACTTTATACAACTCTCATATGTGTGTTTTACATATGATTTAGCTATTCCTGCTATAGCTGCTGGCATGGGTAAGTTAAAATATATTTCTGTTGGTACATTTTTTGACATTGGGAATGTGTTATAACTCAAAAGCCTGATATTTTGTCACAAAAAGTCATCTAGAAATATATGGACTAAGAAATTTCTATTTACAGGCAAATGCATTGTCTTAGATATATTTGTCCATAGACAAATGGTCTATAAGATCTTAAAGATGAAAAGTCCTCCCATGCAGCCTACGCAAGAAGTATGAACTCAAAAGGGGTAAACTACAGAACGATTACTAAGTATCACAAATTATGTGTTCTTTTTTCAACAATAGCTAATTTCCATTTTGTACTGACATATACTGTTTCAGTACAAACCAAACCACTTACAGAACACCAGCGCCCTCTTATTTTAGAAAATCATTTTTATACATAGAGTTTGGACTTCTTGTGTAGGCTCCATGACTTCTACATAGACATTTTCAATGTCTACCGTTTTTACAATTCAATAGTAAACCCGCTAATTTTTTTAAACACATGTTTGCAATAAAACTTTAATTACATGATTAGATAATATCATATTATGGAGAAGGCCACTGTGGTTGGGTACTTAATTTATGGCCTTTTTAAACAAGCTTTGTAGGTACCGAGTGCTTATTTTATTTAGGTTGAACGTGCTTTAAGCATTCAGTCAATTTTAGGTACGCCAGAGTGTAAACCGAAAATCACTTGTTAAGTTATTAGTTTTATTATGATTAACCTAAAGTTGACTGAATTACGTTGCTATTTAATTACATTTGTACGTGTTCGAATTGCAATTGGTCATGCGATTAATTAAATCAGTTTTTGAGTCCGCCTTTGTTTTCTTTTGGTATGCTTATCTCTGGCAGGTGGTAACACCCAGGTACGGGGGATTAGTGGCGGCTGGTGGATTTTGGGTATACCAATATCTCAGTTATTAGACATGGGACCCACACCAAATTTATTATTGTTTATAATGACATTAAATAGACAAGTTTGCAGTGCTTAGCGATCAGAGAGTGCAGTCGTGTTTCAAAGAGTTCTTCGAGTTTTAACTTAAGGTTGATCTTAACTATGAGTGAGAGACTTTGGTGATACTGGTAGCGAAATGGAATGGGAAATAGAGGGAGGACAGAAGAAACGAAAACGCAAAAGATCTAAAGAAGTACTGTTAAATAAGTGAATCAGAAAAGGATAAAATTCGTGAAATTATCGGGTCGCAAAAAACTCAGGTCAACGCAAAAACACCGCTAACAGAATGGCGTTTATCAAACTTGATACATATACTCTGCCGTGCTTAATGAAAACGCCGTAACCAACAATTTTGCGATTTTTGTTTTACAGCATTTTCTACTAGAACAATTCATCCTGTGTCTATCCCCGGTACTCAAAAAACCGTATATATATAGATATATATAGATACGGTTTTTTGAGTACCGGGGATAGACGCAGGATGAATTGTTCTAGTAGAAAATGCCGTAAAACAAAAATCGCAAAATTGTTGGTTACGGCGTTTTCATTAAGCACGGCAGTACTATTATTTATGTTTATTTAGTATTTGATTAGGAAATATGTGATAAACTCCTAATTTTAATAGAGGGAGGACAGAAGAAACGAAAACGCAAAAGATCTAAAGAAGTACTGTTAAAAAATAAGAGTACATCATTAAGTGATTCAGAAAAGGATAAAATTCGTGAAATTATCGGGTCGCAATTTGCGACTCGCAAACAACTCAGGTCGACGCAAAAACACCGCTAACAGAAAAAACTTCACTCAATAATGTAAACAAATTGATTCCATCTACAGGGTGTCCCCACAATAATACAAATACAGAAAATCCTACAATTTTACAAAACTCTTCACCAAATGCATCAAATTCTCATAATTCCTCACCCAATACATCAAATTCCCAAAACTCTTCACCTAACAGAATAAACAACTATTCTTTAAAAATGAACCAAATCATCAACAGAAGCTTTCTTAATACTATATTTATCACAACTAACGAAGATCTAACAAGAATACAATTCTCAGATCTTTGGAACTTACTAGGAGAGTCGAAAACCGATGTCGTTATTAAGACTAAAAAAGGGTTTATTCTAAAATCTGACAGATCAAAGGTTATTTTAAAGGCAGCACTACAATAACTGACGAACCAAAGTGTCGTAAAAACTTTTGAGTACAGCAAAGCTCCAAACAAGGAAAATCACGAACCACGTAGTAACTATACCTTTGCAGCAGTAATTTCGTCAGTTGAATATTTGAAATTATTGAAATTAAGGATGAAGAAATAGGGGATTGCCTAAAAGATTCTTCAATAAACTTTCGCTACTGTAAAAGAATAACCTCAAGAGCTACAGGTAAAATTACTACTCTAATTAGAATAATTGCAGTCTTACGAAAAACTGCTCAATGAGGGAATTTTCTACAAAAATAGACACTATGCTGTATACACAAGCCTTTCTCCCCCACCTCTACCAATACCATGCAACAATTGCTCCCAGTTCACACACACAACTAATAACTGTAAAGCAAAAACTATCTGCACTAAATGTCAAGGAAACCACAATTCTTGTCAAACAACTCTTTCCCCCAAATGCGTAGCTTGTGACTCAACCGAACACACTGCTTGGTCTATGTCATGCCCAAAAAGGCCTACTCAACCAATTGACGGTATCCCCAATATTACAATTAAGAGTAATAATAAAAGATCAGCCGAATTAAAAGAAAGCAGAATCCATAACACTTACACAATACACAATTTGATTGTGGACACTTACATAACCAAAATGAACAATCCAAAATATACAAACAGACAAGATCTTAAACAAAAACTAAAAAAAAGATTCATAAACCTATATAACATGCTACAGATTGTGTTTTTTCTGGTAATAGGCTGTATGTTTTAATGTTGGATCTAGACAACCCAAACTACTGAACTAGAGAAGGAGCTCAATACCAAATCAATCAAAATCCATCAATTTCTGGGGTTAACATTTAATCTTAAATTCTTGTATTCAAACATCAATAGTTTCAACATGAAAAAAGAAATAATCTATAACTACTTACAACAAAATAATATACAATGTTCAATGTTTGTGGAAACTAAACTAAAGGAAGACATTAGTTCATTTAGAGATTGGTCAATTATCCAAAAAAAGGTAATATTCTTAACATAAACGGAAGAGGTGGCAGTCTTATTATGGCTTCAAGAAGTTCAAAACTTAGCAAACAAAACCCACCAACAATTAACAATCCACTGAATGAAACTCTTCATGTTTCCTTTCCCTTCTTTGCAGATAAACTGCATGTTTTTCTGGTATATATATATATATATATATATATAGCTGTGTAAATATGCCATAATAATTGGTGATTTTAATGTAAACCTGCAGAAGAGGAAACAATTAGCTTATTTCTTAAATAACTCCAATGTTCAAAAAATACAAACTCCTCCTACTTTTATAATGGCTAATAACCCTGATACCACACCAGATATCCTTCTCTGTACAAAAAACATAGCAAACAATATAAAAAATGTATCCGTTCTCCCCGACTTATGTTCCGATCATTTAGATATTCAATTTGAAATTATCAGTCATCAACTTCCAATTGACTCCAATCAGGAATACTTCCTGAATTTACATAGATGTAACTTTGAAAATGTAAACAAGAAACTATTTAATTTCTGCGCTTTGGAAAGTCCATTAAATAAACCAGCTATTAATAGTTTTCTGGTACTACTGGAAAAGAGCGTTATAAACAATACACCCAGAGTAAAAAGAACGTATTTTAATTACAAGCTTCCACCTTACCTATTTGCTATGTTAAAAACGAAAAGAAAACTGTACAGGGAAATTAAACAAAATAGTGATCCGCAATTGAAGACTCTTTTCAACAAATATAATAAGGATTTCCACATTATGGTCGCCCAGTACAAAACTCATAAATGGCTTGAAACTTGTAAAAGCATTAATGACTTAAGGGGAAAAAATTACTGGAAGGAAATTAAAAAGCTTTTAAAATATGGAAGCTGGCCAGGTACAGTCTACAGCTATCTCGTCAAAACCTCTCCGACCTTGTCGGAATTATAACGGGACACTGTAGACTAAACAAACATCTTCATACGATAAGAAAAGTAGACAGTCCTCTTTGCAGAGCCTGTAACTGGGGCGAAGAGAATGTAATACACATTATTTGTGAATGTCCTGCTCTTCTCGAATTCAGAAAATCCACTTTAGGAGAAGAATGGGTTGATGCAACCAACATTAGCTCCATCTCTCCAGCCGTCTTTCTAGATTTCTTTCGGAAACTCGGATGGCTGGATTAAAAAATTTGAGCAAACACAAATGGGGAAATGGATCTCGGGGGCAGTACAAAGGGCCAACTGTGGCCTAAGTGCATGTAGCCACAATGTGGCTACCCTCCACCCAACAAATCCAATCCAATCCAATATGGAAACTGGTCCCAATCCTACAAAATTATTAAAAACAACCAAATACTTACATCAGATAAAAAAAGCTATTCATTTTTAGATTACCAAAAATTTAACATTAGGAATCTTAACCACATTAATGTCTGGTACAACGACTTTTTTAATGCACGAAACGCCAATTTAACACCGCCTACCATCAGGGAAGAAGAATATTATAAAGTCCCACAAGAGGGAAAAAATTCCGCCCCAGGACACGACAATGTGAATAAAAAACTCCTAAAAAATCTTTTACCAAAAATTCATGAACACATCTTAAAAATTTATAACTTCTTCTTAAAGCACCAATACTTCCCTACAATCTGCAAAGAGGGTATTTTTGTTACAATTCCTAAATCCACCTCTGCCTCATCAACAAGTGATTATAGACCAATTACTCTTCTGCCGGTGCTAAAACTTTGAAAAAATTATTAAAAACCATCTATTTGAAGAGATTGGCAATAAGGTTCCGCAGTATCAATTTGGTTTTAAAGAAAAACATTCTACAATACATCCCCTAATCACCCTGGTATCAAATCTGCAGCATCACAGCACTATAGAACCTCACTCAGCAGCATTCTTCCTAGACATTAGCAAAGCCTTTGATAGTGTGTGGCATAGAGGCTTGCTATATAAACTCTACCTTCTGGACTGTCCAGAATATTTAATGTGGTTAATTAAAGAGTTTTTGGAAAACCGTTCACTTAAAATAAAAATTAACCAATATATCTCACCACCTTTTTGAATGGCACAAGGAGTTCCACAAGGCTCCAACTCTCTACAATTTCTATGTTTATGATATAATAGATATCAACTATTTGCCCCAAAAAACACAGATCCTACAATACGCAGATGATACCGCCTTTATAGCCCACAACAAATCCCTTTCAACAGCTCTCAATAACCTTCAATTGTCACTTAACATGATTTCCAATTGGTTCTCAAAGTGGAGAATAAAAATTAATGCCCAAATATCTCAATTTATTATTTTTAACCACAAAATTAAATATGACTCTCCACAAATCTCAATTGGAAACCAACATAATATGATATAATATAATATATTATATTCCCATCAAACAACATTAAATATCTAGGAATTAACATTGACTCCAAACTAAACTTCAATTGCCACACGCGAACCATTAAACAAAAGGTCATAACCAGAGCTAAACACTTAAATCTCTAACTTTTAAGAAAGAAGGAATATCCACCAAAACAGCTACCAACATATTCAAAATGATCTGTCGGCCACTGTTGGACTATGGTTCCATAATATTTCAAACCTGCAGAAGACCTTCCCTAAAAAATCTGGAGATAGCAGAAACAACAAGCCTTCGACATCTAACCAAACTAACTTAGATATCCAAGAAACCCCTTATTTAACCCCTCAAATCTACTTTTGTATGAAATTACCAACTTGACACCCATTATGGAAAGGAAGGTAACCTCTCTGAAAAATTCTGCAAAACTAGTGCTAATCTGGAACTTATTGAACCCTTTATTTTTCCTGAAATAGAAGGCATCCCGAGAAAAAGTAAATTTCCAGTGAAATCCCTGTGGAAAGTTATTTTAGATACTTTAGGTTAACATTAATAATTCTGTTTTTTTTTTGTTTTTTTTTTAAATAATTTATATAAAAATATCTGTTAAATTTTTATTGTATTTAGATAGGCAGAAAGACCTCGGTCAGTAGCCTTTTGGTTTCCCAATAAATATACATACTACTACTATACAAGTTTGGGAAAAAAGTTAATTTTTCGTGTAGCCTTACCCGCCTTCTGGCTCCCCTATTTGAGATCATTTAAATCAAAGTGGTGCAATTTATAATTGACTAAAATTTTTTGATAAATTTAAAATTTTATTTAAAAAATTCAAATATTACATATTTTATACGATTTTAAATTTTTATTATTTATTTTATTAAAATTTAAAAATATTTAAAATCCTATAAAACCTGTAATATTTGGATTTTTTAAATAAAATTTTAAATTTGTCCATAAATTATAGTAGATTATAAATTGCATCACTTTAATTTGAATTATCTTAAATAGGGGGGCCAGGAGGCGGGTGAGGCTAAACAAAAAAGTAACTTTTTTCGCAAACTTCAATTAATATAAAATTAAAAAAGTTATTGTACAAAGTTACTAATAATATAAAATTATTTTTTTTTACAAAAACGACTTTTTGGACTTTAATTTTTTACTATGAAAAATTATTATATTTTGTAAAATAGTCTATATAAATAAATTTCATTTTTCTAGATTTTTACCAGATGTGGGGTATGGGAACTCTCCTTAGAGATACAGGAGCATTTTTCATGCGTCGTTCCTATAACAACGATAGTTTATACTGGACAACTTTCAAACAATACATTTACCAATTAGTCACCAATGGAGAATTGCCTCTGGAATTTTTTATTGAAGGAACTAGAAGTAGAAGTGGCAAATCGTTGGCACCAAAATATGGTACAAAAATAATCCATAAAATTAATATTTTTTATTATAATCGAACATTTTTAAGGTCTTCTATCAATGATTTTAAAAGCGTTCTTCTTGTCTCAAGTCCCTGATATAATGTTTGTTCCCATTAGTATTTGTTATGATAGAGTTTTGGAGGAAAATTTGTTCACCTTTGAACATTTAGGAGTGCCAAAACCCAAGGAATCCACATCAGTAAGTTTTTAGAATCAAATATATAAAGTCATGTACATTTTAGTTCTTACCCAATTTTAAAAATAATATATAATATTATAGAGAAAACAACCTTACCGTCGAAAAAAAACTTTTCCTATAAATATTTCCTCAAAAATTAATTCTCTCGGGAGCGTGACGTCACGATTTTATAATATAAATGGTTTTTGGTATATTGGTAGGTATAATGGTAGTGCCAAGTTAATTTAATTTAAGATGTAATTTAATTTAACTTATAAGTTAAAAACACAAGAATCCTTTGTAACGTTCTTACAGTGATGTAATTTTATAGTTGGGAAACTTTTATCTTTAAAATTAAATTACGTTATTTCAACGTTATTTCGTACTAATCTAACCTATTTTGGAGAATATAACTTGAATAAAAAAACGCTGTGACTAGAGGCACGCTAACGTGCCGCGATTCGAAATGTTTAAGGCACGTTAGTTACGTCATAATAATAATCCGGTTTTGTTCCACGAAAATTACAAAATTAATGTCAAGCTAGATAGCTCAGATGGTAGGGCAGTCGCTTGGCATGCGAGAGTTACCGGGTTTGAAACTTGATTTCATAAATTTGTTGTTTCTTTGTTAAAAAATGTTGGGTTGGATTGGTTGGTTTTGTTTTAGTTTTATCGTAACATAAAATCTACTAGAAGTTGTCGAACTTTTTTTATTTTTTATTTCACAAATTTGTTGTTCCATTGTTAAAAAGTGTTGGGTTGGGTTGGTTGGTTTGTTTTAGTTTTATCGTATCATAAAATCTTAAAATTACGACGTAAAATAATTATGACGTAACTAACTTGCCTTTAACTAATAAGAAAAATATTTCGATTGTAAGCCATACCTACATATATCTAAAACTTTAAGTTTTAGATACATGAAGTAAGCACTCTCTTTAAAATATTGTTTTTAATTTCAAACTCTATTAAATTACGATTTTTTAAATTAAATTACTTTTAAAGTTAAATTAAATTATATTACGGTATTTCTTTGTTAAAACCCAGTTTTATAATCATTTTACTTGTTATGAAACCATTAACAGCGTACTTTAGTAACAAAATTATTTTTAAAATTTAATATTCGCACGTAGATTTTAAAACGATTTAAATAATTTAAAGAGTTTTGAACATAACCTAGAACCCAGGCTAGAAACAGATCTTCGATTATAAGTTATTATAATTTATAACTGTTATAACATCGTGACGCCACGATCATTTTTCAAGGTCATCGAAGCGTTTTGAATTTTGGGGATTTTACAATTGTACACTTTAAAGTGTTTGAGAAACGTAGGAAAAAAATATAATAACTCGTTTGTGTAGATTTCTAATATGCAATACGCTAAATAAGTATCGCTAGTAGCGCCACCACTCGGCTGTTATCATCGTAACAAAAGTAGAACTTTTAATAATCAGCTGTCAAACGCTTAGGTAACAAACGAGTGTTTTTAAAGCCGGAAAATGTTAAAAAATATCGAAAAAAAACCGTAGATCGATTTGTTGTGTTGTTGGGTGTATTTCGAGAGGAAATCCTGGGTTGAGTTTTTACCGGTTTTCCAATAAACAGTGTTAATCTGAATGAAGAAATAAATTGCATACAGTCTCTGTAAATATAAATTGTACCTATTAGATACAATAAATACACATTTTAGTAGTGATTAACGTAAAAAGTGTAAACATTTCAATTCAGTAAAAATCGTCAAACAAATAAGTCGTCTAAATTTAAACAGCATTTAGCATTATTAAAAGCGTTGATTAAAAATTCTTCAAAGTCTCCACTCAACGGTAAAATACCATTATATTATGTATTAAATATAATATTATGTTTCCATGAATTCGTAGGTATATTTTGTTGTTTAAAATGCAGTTGTCGGCGTTTTTTAGTGAATTCAAATATAAAAATGTTTGTGCAAAAATTATTTTTTACTAATTTCTTAAAAATGTCCAAACTTAAATATATATAAATTATATTAGGTAAAGTTATCATTAGTTAATTCTGCACCAACAAATGTACTTACCGAATTGGATCCTTTGGCAAAACATGAAAATGCAACGATTTAGTTCTTGAATTTTATTTACAATTGAAGGGGTCAATGCAAGAAGTGCCTTAGTCACAAATAGGTGATTCTGAGATATTGCGGTTTGAAGGTTTATTTTTAATTATGAAATATTACACAAAATATTATGATGAAAATGTGTGTTGTATTGTATGCTTTGTGATAAGTGGATTGGACTTTCATATTAAAAAAGAAAAAACGTTTTGTTATATCAAAAAAAATTATAATAATTTGGCACTTTTTGTGTTGAAATGTTTTTATTTTGTCAAAAATTAAGGGATATTTTGAGGAAAAATTTGTTTATACTTAAAAAAGGTTTATTATATTATAACGCCTTAAAAAAAATATAAATTGTGAACAAAACTTAAGACTAAGACATAACTTAGGATTAACTTAAAGCAAAACTAAGAATATAATAAGAAGGCTGGCTATTCAAAAACAGCGTCGGCCTCTTGCAACTGATCAATTTCTTTATCAATGACATCATTTTGCTGGATTATACCATTTTCAGACAAGGTTCGAACAAAAAAAAACGGTAACTAATATGTTTTAAGGTTCCACAATCTATTTTATTTTACTTTACTCACCTGCCATAGTTATGTTTTTAATCACAGACACATTTTTGGGATTTACACAGTTTAATAGGTAATTTGCTCAGATATAACCAAATTTAAATAACGTGGACTAAGGCACATGTTGCATTGCATCTGTCAAAATGATGACTTAGGTACTTCTTGCATTGAAAACCAGGTAAACTCCCATTGAAGTAAATGCAAACTAAGGCACTTAGACACATATTTCTGCCACTCTGCAATTACCACCTTTTAGATAGCGCCACAATGTCAATTTTATTGAAAATGTGACTTAGGCACTTTCTGCAATTAAAAACACAATAATTAATAATAATAATTTATGCGTTGATATAAGGAATAATCAATCGAAATCGATTACTAAAAAAGTTTTTTAATTTTTTCCTTGCAACGTAAAACACAAATAACGTGCGCGATTTAGCTGTGCAATTGAACAAAATTTGTCGAGTAAGACTTCTGCTTTCCTCTCTTTTGTAAAAAAACTACCTATTTATTTAAAAATGATGTATACCTAATCGGTGCTTTAAATTTATTCTTGAAAATTCTTAAATTCACGCAATGCATTCGAAATCCACCAGATGGCGCGCGCGTTGCAAAAACCCGATACTTCTTTAGCATATAGCAAAATTGCATGTCCCATTGTATCAAATGTTACCTAATAATTTCATACACTTGGGAATGTTAATAACTAATACGCCCCGTACTAATTTTTCGAGATTATCGACAAAATATTAAGTACACGACGTCGTGTCAATTTTAGTTCTCTTAAAATTAATAGCTATTTTGACACTTTTTTGACCCAATTTTAAAAATAATTGTATTTATATTTATTTAATTGTATATTTCACTGTATAATAGTTTAACAAAACAGTTCTGCAGCTGGTACCGACAAACCATTTTAATTTTCTTATTTTTTTATATTTCATATAATATCAGATAATTTTAGACTTTGGGAAAATATAGGCCAATATCTGAATATGCCCCAGTACCAATCTTTAGAGTTTATCCCCAAGTATAAAGTCGTGTCAATTTTAGTTCTCTCTGACCAACTTTGTCAGTCTGTAGTTTTGTTATCATTTATTAAATTCCAATAATAGGTACACCAAATGTTAAATAATTGTATTCACTTTTATTGTAATTAAGTGTATTAAGTTTTATTGTAGGGATTTCTAAAATCAATGAAAATCCTTAAGGAAAAATTTGGTGATACTTATGTCCACTTTGCGCCGCCACTGTCTGCAAAAGAAATATTCGCCGACAAAATGGACAGGTCCGCGCACAATTTGGCACCACTGCATCAACAAGAACTAACCAATCAAGAAAAAAGCTTGTTGCCCATTATGGGACACTCCATACTAAAAAGCCAGCAAAAACATTCTGTCATCACTGTTTTTAATTTGATTGCGATGATTTTGAATGATAATTTGAGCAGGGAGAATACCGCTCTTACTTTAGGGGAATTACATGAAAGACTGATATTTTTAAAGAATTCTCTTGAAGTAATGGGTGCATACATCCCTTACAAAAACCAAGAAGACGTCTTGAAAGCCCTGAGTGTTCACTCCAACTTAGTTCAAGTAGTAAAAGATAAAGTCAATATTATTTTTAATAGTGTGGTTTTGGGGGATATCAAAACCTCGCACTTGAAAGGTCACGCTTTGACAGATAAAACCATGTCGCGTTCTGTACCGCTTGTTATGCTGCAAATTTACGCGAATCCTGCTATACATTTGTACATTGATTTGTGTTTTGTTGTCACTATTTTAAGGGTGAATCCAGAATTAACAAAAGGTATAGTATTTTTGCTAACATTTTCTAGATGATTTATTGATGTTTTGCAGATGTATTATTTAGACGTTTTTCTTTCCTAAAAAAAATATTTTCATTGGAGTTTGTTTCCTATGAACCTTGGATAAATGAGGTACTTAAAAACACGTTGTAGAAAATCATAGTATTAACATATTTTCTAGGAATTCGTAAATGCGTTGGAATTAGGAACAAAATTAAAGAGTATTACCAGAACAAATGGTTTATATTCCATAGGAAATAATAATTTACTAAATAACATATTATGGAGTAATATAGAAGCATATTTTTTGTCTTATTACAGCATTTTAACTATATTGAAAGTAATAATATTTGGTATTTAAAAAAACATATAACTGATTTAGTTTTTTAAGGATTTTTCTAATTTATTAGATGAAAAGTCAATTTATGTAAAAGCTCAACAAGCCTTAGAAATCCAAATAAATAATATGAATACAACTTTCATACATCCATATAGTTTGAGTTTGGACTCTCTTAACAATTGTTTAAATTCCTTATCCCTCCAAAAAATCATTATCAAAACAAGAAGGTAATTTAAAGGAAATAAAATTTAGCAATCTTAAATATACATTTGTTTTACTTTACAGAGATAACAAAATCTATTATGATGCCAATACCATTGTCATACAGGAAATTAGTCAACAATTTGGTAAGTTAATAAATATAATATAACAAAATATTTATTTGCATTTTTTTGTATTTTTAGATTTATACATTACCAAACTTCAACTAGTCATTGAGTGTCATCAAATATTAAATAAGCTTTAAATATTATTTATGAAAATATTCGCTAAAAGTTACACAATTTTTTGTTTTAATGTTTAGTCTCATGCGCCAAAATGTATTAATTTTATTATAGCACAATTTAAAAAAATAAAGATATCTTTTTGGGATTTTTTTAATTGTTAATTCTTACTTATACGTATTATTTTTGAAAGTTAGTATTTAGAATTTTTTATTATCAAAAAATATTAAATAATATTATGTTACCAAAGTCTGGTCAAATATTATGACAATTTTATTAAAAAAGTTCCTATCTTTAACAAATATTTTTATTTGTTTGTTGTATAACTACATAGTTTTATTATGTTTTTGGTTTTATATTAAAAACTATTTTGCAATAAAATATGGTTACATTACACTGATTTTAATTTGTAACTTCATACACTTTAAGAGTGCAAGTGCATTTCATTAACCATCCGGAAATTATGTGGACAAATCCCTATAAAGAAAAACCCCGTCTCCAATTTTTTTTTTATTTATTAAGCCCAAAAAACATAAATGTTTATAACAGGTATAAATACAACATAAATATAATTATAGTCAAGATAACATAATAGCATTATTACTAATATAGTCCGGTCAAATTAGACATAAAAATAGTGGTTAAATAACAAAAATTCCGACAGAGCTAAATTTTGGTAGAGACCTTGGGTACACCAGTAGAAATAAAATGCCAAAAGTCCCCATTGATCCCATGTGTGCTAAAAAAGTTACTCAAGGTCAAAGTTAAAATTTTCTCTTTTTTTTATTTTTCTCGAAAACGGTAAGTTTTATCAAAAATATAGCCCAAACAAAAATTGTAGATCATAAAATTATCTACAAAAACTTTTTTCATACTTTTTTTCCTAAGAATCACCATTCCTAAGATATCGCCATTCTAAAAGTTCGAGGAGTTACATTCTACATGATATGCACACATTTCCACGCCACCTATGAGGTAGTGTACTTGGCGCTTTTTTTTAACGTGATTTCCCTAGTAGACCTATTCCACGAGTTTTATGGGAACATACTGTATTTACTGCATGATGATTAGTGATATTGATATAGGTGAATATTTTACACTGTAGTTATATTTTACGTTAATATTTTAATCTGATTCATACTCTTCAAATTCCACTTCAACAGTCATGTCTTTTTTCTCTTCTTCTTGCTGGATGTTCAACTGAAGATGAATCAGCAGTCTCTTCATCGATATTAAACGAATCTTCGTCTATATGATTGGATTAAACATTCGAGCAAGACTGGCCTTGGCAATTAGTACACGCTGGTGAACACGACAATCCTACTCTTCTACAGCCACATTTAGCACTACAAACCTTTTTACAATCGCAAAAAGTAGAGTTTTTCCGGTGCAGGTGGGAGGATAGTTTGATTCGATTCCAAAATATTGTCTGTTAATTTCCAACCCCAGTCTTCGGGGTTTAGTTGATTGCCTAGCCATGTCTGAACCTGATAAAATGCTCGATACAAGTGTGTGGAAGCCGATGTTGGAGGAAGACAAGATATATCTATACAACTATATAGTTGCAACATGTACAGTGGCAATCATTTGAAAGTGCACGATTTTTTTCACTAGTGTAATACGATCTCTTATGTGTCATATTTATGTGTCAAATGTTAATTTGAAATTTATTTATTAATTGAAAATGCCGCTGTTATCTGAACCCAAAAAAATGCGAGCTATTGCCCTTCTGGAAAATGGTTGGTCGTTGCAAGCATAAAAAATTATCTGGTCATGAGAGCTATCAATAATATGCGAAATATTTTTTTAACCACCTGTCACGATGACACTTCACGTTAACCTTAAATTTTAAAGTCAGTATCACACAACTCAATTATACGCAAATTCGGCATAAGAGTCGTGCACTTTCAAATGATTGGCACTGTACATGTACTTGTTTCTTGTTCCGTGTATTTTTTTACAAAAGTTAAATATCTATACTTGTCTATACAATCAATTTTCTTTGGAGCTCCATAAACAGCAAGGAGAAAGCGAATTCCTTTTGTAATTATCGTTTGAGGAGAAGATTCAATTTCTTCAAATACTTTAGCGCAATCAATTAAATCCATTTTTTCAAATAATTTTAATACTGATGTTTTACCCCTTCTGAACATTGCTGATGTAGTATCGCAGCCGGTTATCGCATGTAAAAATAAAATATGGTTTTGGCATTTTGGATAAGCAGATAAACTTTTTGAGGAGTATATTTCTGTTCGCTGTTGAGTCTTTCCAGGTTTTAAAAAGAAAATAATTTTATCAATTGGAGTCCGTTCAGTAAGTAGTACTAACAAATCAACATCTTTACGAACCACAACGGTTGTATTTGTTGCATTGAGTTGTTCAATTGCTGTTTCTTTTTTTTTATTTAAGTTTTTTTTATCAGACCAGGTTTGACTTAAAATGTCTTGGTAATTGTCGACGAAACAAATAAATGTTAATTTTCCCGGCTTTTCTGTAATAATAATTCTACTACCATTCTTTACTTTTAATCGTATTTTTATAGTTTTCTTATCTAAAGCTACATTTTTACTAACATTCTTTTGTTCGTCCAATGTAAACAGGCAATCATCACTACTTTCTATAAAATTATAAATTTCCTCCATCGCCTCTACTGCCAGTATTAGGTCTCAGGAAAGATTTGTAACAATTGTCATGATACTTGGCCTCAGCAGCAACTAAATCATACTCAAAATTAATGCGTTCAGTGACAGCTTTTGATACGTAATCAGAACGATCCTGAGCTACTGTCAAAACGTATTCTTTAAATGAAAGTGTAGCAACGTTATACATTTTTTGTCGACGATGTAGCGATTTTTTTTTAGCCTCTTCATCCGCTTCATCGCCGGCGCAACATTTTTTAAAACAAAAGTCGGATTCACTTTCTCGTGCTCTAGTACGAGGTGGACTTACTTTTGATGTACTAGCTTGTCCATCCTTATGTTGTCTTTTGATAGCAGCAATTAAATTTTTCCGGGTGTATGATTTTCGGCAATCCACGTGAATTGTTACAGACTTTTCACTTCTCAGATAATCAACAAACTCATCACCTCTTTCGGTACTTGCATCGATCAAAGTTTTCATTCCACGACTAACTGTAACAGCTTCACCTTCCGTCAAAAGTTTATTGCAAATAAAGCACAATTGTGACATTAAAAAAAATATTATTGGGTACAAACTGTAATAGTAGACCCTAGCAATAAATACATGTATTCACTCGTATTCACCCGAAAGGAACGTTCAACACTAAAAGTATTTCACTTAACCACTTGAGAAAAGCAGGAATATGAGCCATAGATAGTAAATCATAAGTTTGTTGATTTCGTTACCAAGCAACCGCCAAGATAAACCGCCGCAATGCACACAAATACCACGTATATGCACACTGTGGATATCATGTAGAATGTAACTCCTTCAACTTTTAGAATGGCGATATCATAGGAATGGTAATTCTTAGGAAAAAAAGTATAAGGAAAATTTTTGTAGACAATTTTATGATCTACAATTTTTGTCTAGAATATATTTTTTATAAAACTTACCGTTTTCGAGAAAAAAAACCGAAAATTTTTTCTTTGACCTTGAGTAACTTTTTTAGCACACATGGGATCAATGGGGATTTTTGGCACTTTATTTCTACTGGTGTACCCAAGGTCTCTACCAAAATTTAGCTCTGTCGGAATTTTTGTTATTTGAAATGTCTATTTTGACCGGACTAATATCACATGCAAATTAAAGTCTTAAATTAAACAAATGAGTTTTTACAGCCTTCGAAAAAGTTTGTAAATTTGTTAAAGCTTTATTTCATCAGGAAGTTCTTTGAAGAGTTTTGAAGCATTATAAGTTTTCTTCCAATGTTGGTAACATTTGGTAACAGGTGGAAATGTTGGTTTGTCCTCGTGTTATACTCATGGATAACACAGTTTTGTTGTAAGTGTATATTTGTACTAACAATATCATGTTTGATTTTATAAATTAATTTAATGCTGTCCAATTTTACAAGTTCATTTATTTTTAATAACTTTATTTCGTTATACAATTCCCTGGTGTTGGTTAGTGATGATTTACAGAACAGGGTTTTTATAATCTTATTTTGAGTGATTTGTAGTTTATTATCTTATTTTCGAGCTTGTCCCCATAATGCACTCAAATAATTTAGTATGGAGTTGATATGAGCATAGTATATCTTATATTTAGTGTCTTTGTTAAACATAAACGAAATGTGCCACAGTGTATACATCATTTTATTACACTTACTTTGTATTTATTCGATATGTTTGTTAATTATGAATATTTCAGCACTGATACTTTAATATTTCAAAAGTTGGCGTTAAAAAGAAAAATTATATTTTTGAAAACGGAATTTATATGGCCTGGACGCCTATTCTCGAGTTCGTAGGAGTAGAAATTTGTAATAGAAATGGGCAGAGTTTTCTCGAAAACTTCTACAGCTGTATACTTGAAACCAGCAAGTAAATATTTTCATGCATTATCGGGCGAATCCACTTCTACTACTGATTTGTAGTAGAATTCAAGATTCCCGAGAGAAAATTTGACATTTTGCGAATATTAGTATTAGTGTTTATGCTTATGTTCTGTGTGCTTTCAATTGATTTATTACAATGGATCCGCACAATTTAAATCTAGCGTTTAATATTATCAGAGACTTGCAAGATGCTAAAGAACAAGCAGATGAACCCAACCGAGTTGTTATCAGAAATAAAATTTATGAGATATTTTAGAGCTAATAATCTTTGCTTGCTCCACCAGGGACACTATTTAATATTATAGCAAGTTCCTGTCATAATGCCTGTGCCTCTTTTTTGTCAATTCTGCAAAATTGTCACTTAAAAGTTGAGGGTAGCTTTTTAATAAGCCTAATAAAAAAAATTATTTGTCTTGCAGTAACGGACACTTTTCATTCCATTTTGAATAGTAATAACTAATACACAAAAACTCTTTGAATTTGCAACACAAATCTATTACATCAGGTTATTAATCACATTTCAAATCATGATACTAAATAAGACTGGTAATGTAACGCGGCGTATTAAGCCGCTGAAAAGTGAATCTAAACTTGGGTCAATGTTCGACAGAGAGGTCGAGAGAGAGACAATGCGAGAAAGGGCTATGCGAATCGTTCGGTTATATATAACCGAACGATTCGCATAGCCCTTTCTCGCATATATGCG